AGTCTTAAATGGTAAATAAACAATTGCTATATTTGATTTGTTTTTTAAGTGATAAAACTTAAATAGTCACAATGGATGGTGTTGTTTTTGTCTTTGTAATTGTTATATTATTGACAGACTGTGGATATGTAGACATTTAATTAAAGATTTGGGCAAGGATGCTGAAATACAGAATTACAAAGACCTATGTGTGTTTCATCCAAAAGGCATAAATGGAGACAAAAAGTTGGCTAATATCTAAGAGCAGCTGTTTCTACAATTTCATATTAATTACTTTCAGAAATGGTGGGCTTATGAGTATCAATCTTGGACATGTTTTACAAGAACTTATGGAAGAATGTAATAACTCTGATTTAGTTTTTGTAGGTTCTGATATTGAGGTTCCTTATTACATTTTTCACTTAACTATAATTTATGTCCTACCTACCACTTTATGTGAAAGTCTAAAACATATTTTCGGTTATGCTAGTTTCAGGTCATAAGAAGAAAGACAAAGATTAGTCTGAAGACCCTGCAACTGGTAGTTTAACATACTAACTATGCCATAAAAAATGTACTTTTAATTTGATACTTATGTCTTCACTCATTTGCATGAAATGATGCAAATAAAGTGAAAGCAAGTATGACTCACTGAACAGTTTCATAGTATCAAATATTTCTCAACTCTGCTTTACACAAAAATTAGTCCTTTTGACATTATGGAGCGCATATGACAGGCACCCTATCATCACTTATTTATCCAGTTCAGTGGATGTTTAAGCAAACAGAAACTACAGAATCTGATTATTAAAGTGTTATTCCTTAATTCCATGCTCTGCCTAACAACAAGCAGATTAGTGTGTATCCTCTTACAGATGTTTAAAAAATACATACTGCACAATATATGAATGCTCTAAGTTACCAATAATGTCTAACATAAACAGGCCTTGTTATTGCCAAAAAATGAATTAACCACAACCCCTTCAAATTACATCAACAATTTCAAATCACATTTTAATTATGCAATTCTGGCATACCATAAGGACAAGACATTAACAGGTCAGTTAAAGAGACAACACCTTAATTAACATATTGTTATTTTATGATAATAAATAAATTTACAAAATAATCCATTTTTGGGCAAATACTAAACAATCTATGATAAGAAATATATAACTATGTACCCTGGCATTGTATGCTATCCAGACACAATACAAAATTAATTTCAAGGAAACAATGAGCAAGTACATCCCTAAGATTGGTGAGTCTCATAATTGTGGCAAACAAACCTGTACAGCCTGCAACTTAGGACCAAATGTTCTCTAACTGCTACAGTCTTAAAATATCCACTGAAAATTTGTCAAAATATTTATATAGTTTCTCGATTTTATGTCTGCTTTTCTTTCTGTCAATGCTTCTTGTATTTTTGATTAAAAAACTCCTGACTCCTCAAAAAAATCATATGAACTCTTTACTGGCACTCTATAAAACTGCTTAATCAAAATAACAGTACAAGTATAATCAGATAACCCTTATTTGTTCTGTCTTCATACAAAATCAATGAGGAAGCAACTGTTCTGCATTCATACAGATGACAATAAACCGAAGAAGACACAAATACCACCTACAGATGAGCTGAAATATTCTTTCAGTTCAATTTCCACTAGATGAAATCAAAAGATCCTCAGCACAGGACAGACAGGCTACAGACAAACTCTGTGATGCCTTTTAACTCAAGTAACGTTACCCTGTTATTTCCTAAATGTTTCTCCTCTGCTGAGTCTTAAGACACACACACCATCTATAGTAAAGTTTGGAACATAAACTCCCATTTATACTGGCATGGCATCCCAGATTTTTCCCCTGAAAAGCTTTTGGGACAAAGTGGGACACTTATAGCATTCAATCATTTACTATAGTAGAACAGTTCTTCCTGTGCAGGGTCTCCATCGACAACTAATTCAATTCTTTATTTATTTACATGCTTACTGAATATAAAAGCCAAATATAATAATAATAATAATGTCATTTCATCTGGTTATTTGAACAGGGGCAGGGCAAAGCCACAGACCATTTCTAGTTATTATATTGGGAAGTATTATGAAAAGGCACTCTCTTTTTAATTATATCAATTTTGACATACTCCATAGCACTTAGTTTACTTCATAGCTTACTGCCTCCATATGGAAAAAAATTATAGTAAATGTATTATAAAAACAGTACTTTCAGTCCAGATGTGCAAACATAATTTGTGGACTGCTGGGGAAAGAGGCTAAAAGCCATTATACACATATCCCTATGAAAGTAGCACAATATATTCAACATGGGAAATTATCCATGATCAAAACGTACAGAACGTTAAAAATGTTTATCAATCTGGTATGTAAGCACAGCAAATTATATATATAATGGTTTTCTTCTGCATAATTTTTTTCTTACTGTGGTTCAGTTTGTTCTTCATATGTGTAACATTTTCACAACACCATTTCTTCTTGGCTCCTCAGCATATTTTCACTTTCAACTGAAACCCTTTAATTTTAAATTCCCATCTCCTTGTCATGCCTATGGACTGATTATGCTCACCCTCCAAACCTGCCTATTTCCTAAATGCTTATTTCACATACAATCGAGTTATCAAGGCCTAGAGGAACCTATTATATTCAGTGAAAACATGTCAATGGATTCTTAATATTCTTGCCAGATTCTGACCAAACTGCATCTCTAAAAATATGGACTTGACCTCACAGGTTCAAACCCACACATCACATATGAACAATCGAATTACTACTATAACATTTGGTAAAGTTAAATATGAAAGACTGAATATAAAGATAATGGTGTTGATTATGATAATGGTAATTATACAATGCACTCAGAGATATTGGGTTTTCGGACTTTATCCATCATCTGGGTTTTAAGATAACTAAAAAAACACGATGTTTTGGAAATTGGATCTGTTTCCGTCCTCAGATGAGGGAAAACACCTGTTCTGTTGGGTCCCTTAGAAAGAGCTAGCCTCAGTCACTGGTCCAGTGATTGACGGAAACAGATCCAGTTTCTGAAACATCGTGTTTTTCTTAGTTATCTTAAAACCAGGTTGATGGATAAAGTCCGAAAACCCAATATCTCTGTGTGTTATACACCACTGTCAGAATCCTATAGTAACTATTTATACAATGCATAGTTCTTAACAAACTCCATGTACAATGCTAACCGACACAGTTCTGCAAACACCTACTATATCTGATTTTGCATTCCGCTTCTGGCCATCTATGTGCAACATCAGTTAATATTTTCTTGCCATCTTCCCTTTATTGTCGCTACATGTTTTGGCCTGCTGTAATGAAAGGCTCTGTTGCTCACATAGGAAAAGCAGAACAGCACTACAGTGAGCAGCAGACTCCTTCATCACAACAACCTGTACACCTGCTGATGGCTGGTTAGGCTGAAACATGTACTGACAGTAAAGAGAAGAAGATGAGAGAATATTAACTGACATTGCACACAGTTGGCAAAAAGTGGAACCCAAAGTCAGATCTACACAGTGCAACAGGTGCTGCAATTTAATATTATTAACTACAGCTACTACATATACAAGGCATATCCACAAAATAAGTTCCATTTGCAAATACTGCCACTGCAGTGCAGCAGTCACGATGATGCGCATGTAAACAGAGTTTGTTGGTCCTTTGTGAAGGCACAGATGCCATTTGCAGACAATCGAACAGTGTTTATGCATCGTCCTGTGTGTTTAAAATGTTCAAGAAGCTCTAGAAGCAAAGCGCCTCTGAAATGCAGTCTGAAATTCATTTCTTGAATGCAAGAAATATCAAAGCGGCTGACATTCATCATCAACTTTGTGAGGTGTATGCAGAATATGCCATGAGTGATCCCATGGTATGAAGATGGGCGAGACACTTTAATCAAGGACACAGAAATGTGCATGATGATCCGCGGAGCAGCTGACTCTCTGTGGTTAATGAAGATTTGGTGTGTGCAGTGGAAAAGAAGACTCAAAAGAACAGACAATTCACCATTTCATCACTTTCCCTGCATTTTCCACAAATTTCATGGTCACTCCTTCATAAAATGTGTCTAATTAAATTCGGTTTTGGAAATTACGTTCACACTGGGTGGTGAGGATGCTTATGGAAGAACACAAAATGACACGGAAGGCCAGTGCTTTTACCTTTCTGACACGATACAGTGATGACTTCTTGAGCCACACAGTCACAGGGGATGAGACATGGGTATTACACGTAACCCCTGAATCAAAGCAGGAGTCCACATAAGCACAGGCACAGGTACACATCATCGCCAATAAAGCAAAAATTCAAACTGACCATTTCAACTGACAAGATCATGTGCACAGTGTTTTGGGGCACAAAATGCGTTGTTTGTGGAAGTATTGCCTCAAGGCTCAACAATCAACACATGTGTCTATTGTGACACACTTAAGAAACTGCGTCATGCCATCCAGAACGAGCCATGTGGCATACTTAGTTGGGGTGTTGTGATGCTTCATGACAATGCCTGCTCACACACACTGCCCCTGCAACGCAAGATCTCATTGCGACATTTGGCTGGGAACAATTCAATCATCACCCCTACAGCCCAGACTTAGCGCCAATTGATTTTCATGTGCTCCTGTATCTGAAAACTTTCCTTAGCGGTTGGCAGTTCCATGATGACGAGGTCAAAGAAGCCATTAATACACGGTCTGCATTACAGGTGGCACCATTCTATGATGCAGGGATAAAACAACTGGTGCACCGCTACAAGTGCCTCAACAATAGTGGAAACTATGTCAAAAAGTAGTGTACGGTCTGTACATCAAATGGCAATATAAATGGTTAGGAAATAAATTCTTGTTTTTTTTAATTGCCCATCAGAACTTACTTTCTGGATAACCCTTGTAAATACACCACAAACTGAACAAAAACACATCCTACAATCATAGAGATAGTTGATACAAATATTATGTTTTTGGACATTATCCATCACTTTATCTTTATCTAAAAAGTGCCCTGTTTATTTTTCAAAACACAAAATGACGGATACTGTCCAAAAACATAATATTTGTACTAATGCACTATCATCACAAACTTCTAAGAGATAGTCGATATTTTATGCAACACTATGAGTTCCTCAGATGCTGGAATTCTAAGCTAACTCTGGAGTAGAAACATACCAGAACTCAACTCACGTACCTTCCATTTGACTATTCAATAAAAATAACGGTTATCCTCTTGTAATCTGTATACCAAAACTGATGTTCCAATGAAACAGTAACAGACTGAAGAGTCTATAATCCATCCCTCATCAAACTAAAGGATTGTACTTGCTCGTTAACAGAAACTCCTACTGAAAATGGATATAATATTAAATTCTATAACTAAATTCAAAACAAGTTCATTTTCTAGTCTCAAGCATATATTACATTATAAGCTGCCAGTAGGGCAGAATTACCAGCAGCATATAAAACAATTTTTAACATTCTGAATTAATTTACATTTCAAATGTACTATGATATAATTAATGTTAAATACTGTAAATTCCTTAATAAACCATATTATTTTAACTTCATTAAAATACTTGGACAAGGTTATTCAAGACTATTACAAGATGTGGAAAGTCCCTGAAATTTTCAATTAAACATTCTCTCCAAAAACAATGGCATAATGCATACAACACTCATCATACTGATATACAGCTTACAAACAAATACCTTGTGATCTCAGTTATTAATCCATCACAAAACATTCTGAAATCCACTATGCATAAGACTTAAGAATCCACTGAAGGCTACAACCAACAAGAACTAACATTAAAGTGACATTCATTCTCTGTTCCCTGAACAAGTGACTCAAGACTTTTAATAGCAGGTATTAAACAAGAATATAACAAAACAGTACTAAACTGAGAACATTTAAAATTGTTAGATGTTTAATAAGATCCTGTTGAATTTTACACATTCATTTATATCTTGTGTTACTTACCTAATTTCATTCTGGGGTCAGGTGAGGGGCTTGAGGTATGAGTTTTGTTATCAGACCACTTCTGCACTACCTGTCATTCGGAGACAAACTCTCATAGCACTAGGAATGTATTGTGTCATGACTGTTCCTTACCACCAGGTACCTGCGCACTGTATTAACAATCAGGGTATCAAGTTAATTCACTGTACTCTGTCCAACCATGGTTTGGTGCACCAAGGCGCAGAACACCAACTGAACGATCTTTAGATGCAGTGATGATATCTGTACACTATATTAAGGTTCATTTTAACAAAACAAGCAGTGAACAGATGCTTATTTCTATCATAAATATTTTTAGCAGAAATGACATTTAAGACCCTTAGGTATATATACACACATGTAGACAAAAAAATAACAAAATACTGAATTACAAAAGAAAGTGAACATCAGTGATATACTTTAAAAGATAACTAAAGAAAAGAGGGGGAAACACCATATCAAAAGAGATGGCTGAATAGAGCATGAAATTATAAACCCTCAAACACATCACAAAAAAATCATGAAGAAAAATAATCTCTTTTTAAATACAGCAGAGGAAAACATATCATGCCATGTAAACGTACATGAGAGTGGAGATTAAGCTTCAGGCATTCTTTACTTAGCAGTAAAAATGCAACATCAATATTATGTACCTGCACAGTACATGAGACAAAAAGAAAAAAGCAGACACCAACAATTCTTCTTTTAATATGGGTAACCCAAAAAAATACTTTCTCTTTTAATCTCGAACAGTGTATATTGATAAGGACATGTACATACAACAAATGTCACAAAACACCTACCTGACTGCAGGGTTATCACAGCAAGGCAACCACAATGAGAACCTATAATTGCAGAAGGGGAAAAGTGTGCCACCTGGTCTTGAATCTCAGACCTTCTGCACATATGGCCAGATATTAAGTACAGACCACCACATCAATACTACATCACCACACAGAAAAATATCTTGCACAGTTTCTTACTAATTTAATTATGAAGGATACATTCATCATAGGGAGATATGTCCAGGTCCTGAATATCACCTTTATGTTGATAAACCTCTCCCAAATATTCATGGTGATGAGGGTACCGACGATAACGCCTGACAACCCCTCCATCACATACTGAATATAACTGGCTGCCATTTGAAGTATACCTGGAAAATGATTTGTGGTATGTTATGATCACACATGCGGGTCACGGTAGCCGAGTGGTCTAAGGCATACAGTCTTCGCAGGCTCAGAAGTCGGGATCATGGGTTCCAATCCCACACAGGGCATGGATGTTTAGAGTTTGAGTTCGTGTGTATGTGGGCGTGCGTGCATTTTTCTGTGTTTGTATACAGGTAGAGGCCTTGAAACGAGCTCATCACCCACCCAAGGAGTCCTACTGAATGTTGTAAGATCTAGTAAACCAAAGTGAAATGGAGTGTTTCATGGAGGTAGGCCAAGGCCTAAACTGAGGCTGTAGGGCCAGGGGGCATGGGGGAAAGGATCACATATTCTATCAAATGTTCCTTCATTACCATTATTCTGTAATCCATGCTTTGCATGTATGGATGTGAAATTTGGTTCTTTATTCTGAGGGTAGAATGTGGACTTAGGATGTTAAGATCAGAGTACTGAGAAAGATATATGCACTTAGAAAATCAGAAGCTTCATTATTTGTATTAACCAACTTTCTTACTCTGTAACCAGCCATGTGCTATCACACAACCCAATGGGTACCGATAAATGAGTATGCAGCAATAATGGACATGACTGGCAGTGCAAAACTGAAAAAAAACTTCAAGAAAAACATTCTCCAATGCCAATTCATTCACCTCAAACCCATTAGAAAGTTGTCCAGACTGAACCCAAGGCCCTGCAGTTAGAAGCCAACATCTACAAGCCTGAGCTATGCCATGGTTGTAGTTTGTACTCTATTATATTGTTAGGGGGATTATATCAAGAAGGCTGAAATAGGCAGGACATGGAGTATACATGGGGTTATGAGAAATGCATATAAAATTCTGGCTGGGAAAAATCATGAGAAAGGATCACATTCGAAACTTAAATGAATGTATATCAATATGTAAGCTGTACTAATGTTTAATAATCCTCACAGAAATGTGCTGAAATTTTGGGTTCCATAATAATAAAAAAGTGCTGACCTACAGAATTGCTACCAGCTGTTCCAGGAAGCTAACAGTTAAGCTCACATGATGTCCTGCTAACCAGTCTATCTCAAAGATGGAGACTGTTAATTTCTCCATGGCACCAGTAAAATAGCCTATCACAAGAATGAAAACACATGCCTCAAGCTACCATTATTTAGGAAATAGCTTCCACATTCTGATTTCAGCTATCTGATCTGAAAAATGAATACACTCCCGCATTATACTGACTACCATTTTCATTCAACTTTATATGTTCAAATTTTCTTAATCCCCTGCCAGAATGTCTCCTTAGGGTTTATAACAATAACAAATTTTCCTTGTGCTATATCAAGTACCATGCCATAAAGACAAGGGAGAGTGAAGGCAGAGCTCCATACATTCTTTATCTTGTCATTAGCTGGAGGTGAGTGGTACACCTAGGCTCCAGGGCTGGTTTGGCCATCATAAAGAACAGAAAATCTCTCACCCACTTGAAGTCAAACACTGATTCATCAGTCACCAAGCCTGCAGCCCAGTCACTATGCCAAACTGGATATTCCAGCTCTCCTTAAGTTTTACAATTTAAATTTTATTCTTCCTATTCTTCCGTATCATTTGAAATGGACAATGCCAACACCACTATCATTAACATTACCTACCTGAGTTTCCAAATCTGCATATCACGATGTTCCTTCAAATGTTCCTGTATGCCTGTGTCAGGGACATAGGCTGATACCATGTCTCCACCACTCATTATTACACCTGTACAAAAAGTATGTACTGAATAATGTCTGGGACACAGCAGGAAAACAGTGAAACATTTTGAAGAAAGCAGTCTTCTGGGATGTGGCACTGTGTAGATGTGGTGTTAACCAACATTTCGGAGGAACGTATCGCCTCCAACTTCAGGGTAGAAGGAAAAACAATAAAATCCGCAAGCAAAGAGACAGTAAGAACCGGTGCAAGCAGACTGGACTGATGTTGGAAAGACTGGTTCTATCTCTTCGCTTGCGGATTATCTTATTTTTCCTTCTACCCTGAAGATGGAGGCGATACGTTCCTCCGAAACGTCGGTTAACACCACATCTACATGGTGCCCCATCCCAGAAGACTGCTTTCTTCATAGTCACCACCATGAAAACCTCAAATCTTACATAGTGAAACATTTTGTTTAATATCTCCAACCCCACCATCTCTGTGGCTGGAATGTATCCCAGCCTGCCATTTTTAGCAGTAAACTACCAGTTGGCAGTATTTCACAGTAAAGATGTGAACAGAAAACAATCTATGGCCAAAGAACTGCAAAATGTAGCTACAAACACTATTTAGTGACAGAGGAAGAAATTACTTGCCCAAATTGCTTTGAGGGGAAAAAAATGTTGACCTTGTCAAGCCACTGTCTTAAATGACCAAAATTCTGTATGGTGGTTCAGACATGGCACTAGCAAATGACCAAGCTCAGTTATATATCAGTTATAATCAATCTTAATATGAGTGACGTACATTCATTAGACAACCATTCTTCTAGGCTATCAGGCACACTGACATACCAGAAAGTTTCTAAATAACCTGAGAAGGTAGTTTTTTCCCATAAGTAAATTTAGTTCCAACAGAAATATTCATTAATAACACGACAATTTCCATCTCAATATGGCAGTTACTTATGACTCACCATAATGAAAATGTAGTTCCTGTTGACGTATTTTGTACACATTCATCAGAAATGGTATCATAGATACGTCACAAACAGGCACATATGAACAGAGCATAGCCACAAATATGCGCAAAACAAGATCTCATTCAAGGTGTTCCTGACTGCCAGTGTGAGTGAAAACTACTCTGTCAGCCAAAACTGAAAACACTGTATGAATATTCATACTTCAACCTTCTATCATGTTTTGGAGCAGTTTGTCTTCAGACGCTTAAGATCTTGATGATGATGTTGGTTGGTCCAGTCCTCCAGTATTTAACTGGTCACTACTGCACTTACAATTCTGCATCTTGTCACATTGGTTCACCACTCATGAACACCGTACACAACAAGGATAAACTCAACTGTACTGCCTCTAATACAAAATTATGCTTCTGAACATTATCCATTGTACTGTCTTTATTTAACATACTGTCCTATTTTTATTTAAAACAATGTTTCGGAGACTGGATTCTGTCTCCATCTTTGGGTAAAACTACTCAGTTGGGCCCAACTGATAGAGCTAGTCCCCATCTCCATACATGCACCAACACAAGACAGAGTATAGAAACCAAGCACAGCACAAACCATCTGCAAGATTTAAGACAGAACATTAAAACATCAAAAAACTCCACACATGTGGCCTACCACCAGAGTATTATCAGAACAGAAGTCATCACTGGAGAGATAAATTCTCTGTATGTTACCATGGTACCAGCAATGGCTTCTATTGTGATAGTACTCTGGTGCTAGGTCTCATATGAGTGAAGTTTTTTAATGTTTTAATGTTCTGTCTTAACTCCTGCAAAATGATACATGATACAAACTCCGTCTTCAGTGCAACCATATATTATAGGTCTTTGTTTTGCTCTCCCTTACACACTACATGTTTTGGCCACAAACGGCCATCATCAGGTGTATTACTCACGTATCTGTCACACTGCACTTAGTTTAACATTTAAAATTTAAAACACAGGTCTTTTAAATGTTAAACTAAGTGCAGTGTGACAAATACGTAATACACCTGATGATGGCCGTTTGTGGCCGAAATATTTAGTGTGTAAGGGAGAGCAAAACAAAAGACCTATAATATATGGTTGCACTGAAGACGGAGTTTATATCATGTATCGTATGGAGTGCAACAGGATGCTTAAATATAATATCCTGCAAAATGGTTTGTGCTGCTCTTGACTTGTATACCCTATCCTGTGTTGATGCAGGTGTCCAGAGATAGGAACTACCTCTATCAATTGGGCCCAAGTGAGTAGGTTTTACCTGCAGACAGAGACAGAATCCAGTCTCTGAAATGTTGTGTTTTAAACAAACACAGGATGATGGATAATGTCCAGAAACATAATATTTGCATTAATGTACAACTGTCACAAACTGTTAGATCTTACATACCGCCTCTCCTTGCCTTGTGACCAAGGTTTNACACAACAATATTCACAGCTGAATGGTACTTTACTACTGCCATAAGTCTCTATATGCAGTGCTACTTCTACTTTGTTATCCTTACAAAACATCTATGTAAATTCTCTTAGTCCATAATCTGATGTACAGTGCCAAGAGAGTTATTTTATAATATTTAACATAGCTAACATTCACTGAAACTCATCTTTGGGAAGTGAATAAAAAGGCAAATATGTGGTCTAAACTAAATTTCATTCTGTACACTCCAACTACACCAAAACATACTGTTACCTTCAAGCATACAATGAAACCATGCCATACACGAATTCTGACATTCTAAGACACATTCTACTATATCAACCAATCTTCAAGCATTCACTGCATCAGTATATCAGTCCCTAACTCCAAAGACATAATCTATACTCCACCTATAAACTCCAGTCACTATCTAACAAAAGGCCACAATATCTACTAACTCCCCAATACAAAAATCATACAGTTAGACTAAACTGAATAAGAGGGTCAACTATATAAAAAGACAGTGATGATATAAGGATATATTGACAAGCTGTATATAAGAATTCATATCAGATGGCAAACATGTAATGCTAAATGCTGAAGAACTCTTATAATTTGGACAAGTACTCTTATATTGTACAGAAAATATAGGTAACCATGACTCACAAAATAAAACAATAGCAAGGCTACAATTTAAACTGATTTGACAAAGAGGCTACATACGTGAAACTGAAGGAATAATACAAGATTATAGAGTACATATGCATATAGGCTTTTAAGATACTACTTCATGTGTTGAAGATCCCTCACAATTTGAATAACTGCTATTATATCGGAGTCACGTCTTGTGAAACTGAACTCATACTGTTTCATATACACCTCTATACAACACCATGTTTTAACAGATTTGTACTTCCATGTTTTAAAATGTACTTCCAGCTTCTGACAGTGACATTCCCCTCCTTGTAGGTTCCCAAACTGTCCTTGGCCTCAGCTACAGCAAATCTCAAATAACTGAGTGACTGACTGACTTTTCCTACCTATAACATTTCTGAATGGACCAAACAGAAAACACCAATTCCCATTACTGTTGTATCCAACTGTTACATTCATGAAAACATGTTTGTCTGCGGAGCCGTTACTTACCAATGGCTGTTGTGTATTTGCTTATTTAGTGGTTGTTGCCTAGCAACGGGTCTACATACCAAATATATATTAGCCAGTGTGTTGCATACTACCCGATAATGACTACATGTGGTCATAAAATGTAGTGAAAAAACCAGAAAGTTTTTTGGTGTAAGTTTGTGTGATAGTTATTTTATAACCCAAAGGTCTAGAGTAGATTAGATTAACACTCAGAATCAGAGTTATGTTACAACTGATGGTCAGTCAGCCAGTCAGTCCACTTTGGTGCCGAGCCCCATCTGCAGCTCATGACCAGATTTTAGTTACTGCTAGACAGTTACAGTTCTGTCACTATGGGGCACCCTCCCTGATGAAAGGACAAGCCTGCCATTTATTAAGCGTCATACGTGGTCTGACGATAATGTTTGTGAATTCATTGCGGTAAAAGTGCTACATACCTCACTGCTGAATATTATTGTGGTTACCTTCAAAGTACACAGCTGTGAAATGCTGATATGCCAAGGTCATCAAACCATACTCAGGTTTCTGTCCACTGCTGCCACAGCAGGAACACAGTGGCAAGTTCATGAACTTTATTGTCAGACCTCGTAGTCAGCAGTAAGTCATTATATTAACACTTTGTAGCTAGAGCTATTTAAATACCCTTTCTCTTCAGCTACAGGATTTTATAGGAAACCATGAATAATTCACAATTTCATCAATTCTGTGAAATTTTCATATATGTAAGGAACATATTGCACCAACACCCAGAGTAAGAAAATTAAAGTTACAAACACGTTCAAATTGTTATACTGATGATATAAATATAGGGTGGGGCGCAGAAACTTCCTTTTTGTGAAGACGCATTGTGAAGGGTGGAGAGGTCGCAGAAAAGCGGGGAAAGGCTCAGCGAATGCAGGAGTCGCAGAAGTTTCTGTTTAATACCCCTCAGTAGGAAACATGAGGTGGACGAGTGAGCAGTGTGCGTTTGCTGTCGAAGCCTATTTTTCGAACAACCATTCCTACGTGGTGGTGCAGCGTGCGTTCCATACTCACTTCGGAATTAAGCCCAGAGGTCTGGTTCCCGACCAGAAATTGATTGTTTTGTGGGTAGAGAACTATAGGACAACCGGGAGTGTGGTGAAAAAATCATCAGGATGACAACGGACTGTTACGACACCAGAAAATGTGGAGGCAGTTCGACAGTCGATTTTGAGATCTCAAAGACGCTCCGCTCGCAAACATGCAGTCACTCTAGACATATCCAATCATTCAGTGCGCCGAATTCTTCACAAACATCTTAATTTCCATCCTTATAAGATGGTTGCTATGCATGAATTGTCACCACATGATTTTCAGAACCAAATAACGGCATGCGAAATGTTACTGGAAACTTTACCCCCTGACGCACTTGTTTTCTTTACTGATGAGGCACATTTTCACCTATCCAGATATGTCAACAAGCAGAATATGCACTATTGGGGTGGTAACAATCCCAAAGAGCTCCATGAGAGGCCACTTCACAGTGATAAGGTGACAGTATGGTGTGCATTTTGAGTTTGAGTTATTGGCCCTTATTTTTTTGAAGAAGACAATCATGCAGTTACTGCCAATTCACAGCAGTATGTGGACACGAATAAAAACTTTTTCGAACCAGCTCTTGAAAAATGTATCTAGGAAATGTCTGGTTCCAACAGGATGGTGCCACGGTCCACACAGCCCCAACTTCGATGACAGTTTTGAGGGCAAAGTTCCCCGGACGGCTCATCGCGCTTTGAGGTGACATCCCGTGGGCAGTGCACTCACCTGATCTAACGCCCGTGATTTTTTTATGGGGATACCTCCAGGCAGAGGTTTTTAAACATTGCCCCACAAACCTGCTTCAGCTGAAGAATGTTATTCGGCAGGAAGTAGCTCAAATTCCAGTGAACATGTTGGAATGTGCAGAGGGGAACTTCAGAAAACGTTTGCATCAGTGCATAGAGAATGGTGGCCACCACCTTCAAGATATTTTGTTTAAACCTACATGATTTAAAACTTTAAAGTATGTTCTTTCATTAGCTAAACATAAATGTTGCCTATCAGCAATAATTTTTCTTTTATTCGCCTTCAAAAAAGGGAAGTTTCTGCGCCCCACCCTGTATTAGAAAAATAAACTCTGACTGTACATCATTCAAGTGCATGGTGAACTATTTTTAGAACAGTACCTGACCTCTCCTTCATCCTCAGCTAGTGTTTCAATATGACAACAGTGTGAATGACTGGAGGGGATTCACTGACAAAGAGAGAGGATATACAAACTGAGGCATTTTTTATTGCTAGTCAGGTGGGACTAAGCCCCTTGTACTGCAGCCACTTCTGGCCTATTGTACCAGCCCCAGATGATAGGTGAGGGTGATGGTGGTGCAATTGGTGGAATGAAGATTGGCAGGGGAAACCGAAGTACTCGGAGAAAACCTGCCCCAGCGCCACTCTGTCCACCACAAATCCCACTTGACCAGACTTGGGCCATCGTGGTGGGAAGCCAGCGACTAACCACTTTAGCTATGGCGCGGCCAACTGAGGCATAGTAAATGCAGTGCTTCACAATGCTATTATGCAGTGGTCTCTACTGTTTAACCACAAAATATACAAGTTCCAAGGTGCCAAATTTAAAATTCTATGTCAACATTGCTAATAGTTCCCCTACCATAGATTTTTGAAGTTCACAGTGATACATGTACCACCCTTAGGCAAGGCAAAGATGTGTGGAATGTGTACTATGGCGAGATTTAAAGTGTTAATAATGGATGCCCATTAAACAGCCAATTATGACCAATTTTCAACCTATTTTGCCTCCCTTTCCTTGTAATTTTAAACTCCTTTTCAGTCCTGCAGTGATATGAAGCACAATATCTTGCTTAATGTCTTTATCATAGTCACATGGTTTCAGGATGTTCCCCGGTGATAAAATATTATTTAAAATACATCAGTCACAAAGGACATGCAAGGTTGCCTTTTTCCTTTGTTATGACACCCTTCACACCTCTGAGACCACTTATTGTTCCCAGTATGAACAGATGTCTCTTCAAGTGACATGTGTCCTGTTACTTATTTTAAATAATTCCCATTCAGCTCCAATAACTGCAGTTAGTTCCCCTGGTCTTTTACCACCTGGCAGCTTCTGAAAGAAACCCTTTACATGTTTTTAGAGGTGTGAACTGCCAGTATTCCTTGTGTTTTCTGTTGCTCTGTCACTGACTGACCTCTTAGTAACCCTTTTTGAGTTGAACAGACTAGTTCAGATGCTACAGAGGTATGTGCAGAACCTGGTCTTGCAAACTGCTCAGTAATTTCTTTCTAGCTAATCCTTCTATGTCCTGGCATCCATATCAGTTGTACTCTCTTATATTCCACGTTTCATTAGGGACTCACAAGATTACAGCTTAAAAATGAAACAAAGTCATGTATTTACCATTCTTAATCAGAAATGAATCACCTACATCCACATTAAGCTAAAGCTTACCAACCCAAACTTTTCACTCACTGTAAAATCCATCGTCAGCACCAATATTGTATGGCTCAGGTGTTGGGCAAACTGTATTAACCTGATGCCCTGCCTGAAAAGCATGGAGGACTCTTCCATCTAAAGTAGAGACTTTGCATGTGCCATCACCACCAGCTGTCAAGAGCGCACTCTGCTGACCACGCACCCATGGCCATGAGGGGTGCATAAATGCCAGGTCACGTATCACACTACCATGTAACTGTGAGAAGGTTAACATTTGTTTTTATTATGGTAAGTTTAAAGCTTCTGACTGCAAATAAGAGGTTATGTTATTACACTCAGCAGTTTTCATTGCATTTCATAACACATGAGCATTTAGTAGCTATGTTTTAGTTCCTATGTAATGTTTCCAGCCAACGGAAATACATTAAATTTAGTACTAAACATCCCTGAATGAGTACAACGGCTTGGCCATACTGAAAAAAAACATAAAGACAAAATAAAAATACCAGGAAGGTAGGCAAAATGTGTAGCTGTCCCTGTGTTTAATTAATTAAGCACCATGCCATGAAGATGATTTGGGGAGTGGAGGTACAGCTCCATGCATACTTAACCTTGGAACTAGATGAAAGTGGGTGGTCAGCTTCACACACCAGCTGCATTACTGTCATGGAAAGAGTGCTGAGCACCCACTGAATACAAGGCTGCATGGGACCAAAAAGCCAGACTGAACTGGGAGACAAAGATAAAAATCTCTTTCCCCTACCAGGAATCAAATCCCAATTCCTTGGCTGTCCAGCCCTACACCATCATTATATACCTACTGAGTTATCCTGGCTCCCAAGGATACCAAGAAAGGCATAAGAATTAAAATTCAAAAGAAGATCTATAAGAAAACCCAGGGCAAGATGATTTAGTCATGTAGTAGAAGACATTGAGAAGTGAGGAAGGAACTTGCAAGAAATTAAACGCGAACAATTATGAGGAGATATATGAGATTGGAGACTTTTCACTTATCACCGCATTTAAAACAAAAATTATGCTAGAAGATGTTCCTCCTAATATTCTATCATTTCAGCTGAATCTCTGCTCAAACTCCATAACACGGACTACCAATTTACTTGTAGGTATACATACATTTTGGAGTAAAGTGTTTCTGTAAATAATGGTAGATAAAATATGTTCCAGATAAAAATATAACTACAGATCAGACAAATATTTTATGTTACATGCAGTTCCTCCCATTATGTGTTGTTGTCTAGGTAATAAGTGTTACACACTGAAGTACTGAAGTGGACTTCAGTAATACCTATATATAAAATGTGGGTATTAGTTGTGAGTACTTACTTTTCACTTCAATAAAGACCATAACACTTATTCACACTTCCCTTATTTCATAGTTTACTGAGGTGCAATAACTACAGAAATATCATTTTTGCATAATGTCTCTATCTGAACAAAAATCATAGTAGTGAATTATATTCTCGATACTTTCTTGCCATCTATTGGAAAAATCATTGAACTACACACTCTCTACAGTACATAAGAAACTTGAAGTTTGCAATAAATGAAAAAAACAATCAAATTCACTAATTCATCATCATCAACTTCAGTACTGTGTAACACTGCCCTACTGTCATTTTAATTGTTTACCATTCTAGTTTGCAAACAAATCAATAGAGTAAATATGCATAAAATGTGTGCACAATATCTGATCAAAACAAAAACTAATATTTTAGTACAGCATTTGCAAATGTCTCACAAAACTTAATTCATTTAAATATCTTCAACCACAGTATGAATGAAGTTCACAATTCCCTGTTTCTAAAAAGGTACCCACCCACCTGAGGCACTGGGTGAACTGCATGCAGAAAATTCTTATTTCACACAATGTGAGAAGTAGGATTAAGTTAATTCAACTTACATCATAGACAAAATCAAGTGGTAGAGGCATCCTGAGATCAAGTAGGGTGAGGCCCTTGCCATTTACAGCAACAGAGACAGCCATGTTTGGACAAACCGGATCTGCAGCCAAGCCAGTTCGATCTCTGCCACTAAATGCACAATTATCATATGCCAGCAATTGTTCTCCTCGTTCCACATCTACCACGGCCAGTCGCCGAGCTGTCGTAGCAGCCAAGATCTGAATGGTGGAAGGATAGGATAAAGGAAAACAAATACCAAATGTCAGTTTCTTACTAGCAATAGTCTTAACTTCTTCCCGTCAGCTTGTGAAATACTTGGTAGTAACATACACCTTTATTTCATACCACCAGTTGTGGTCTCTTGACCTTGACGAAAACAGACCATCTGACAAGGATAAAGGAATCCACTCCACAGGTGCAGCAACCACAGTGTGGTATTCTATCCATTCCAAATGATAGGGAGTGATGAAGATTATGGCTGGCAGTGAAGAGGAGGCAGTAGGTTCCTCCAAAACACTGGCAATGCCTATTAAACTACATAGTGTCAAAAGACAGAAGTCCATAACTGAACAAGTCCAGTGCCTCAGTACCAGGTCACTATGTTCCCAAAATATGCCTTAAGAAATTAGACATTATAAGATTTTAACACACAATAATAATAATAATACAGTTCCATCAACAATGCAACTATTTTATTTTTTCCCTTTCCTTCAATAAAATGGTTGCATTGTTGATGGAACTGTATTATTATTGTGTGTAAAAGATACAGTAATGCAACAGGATCCTTAATTACTGCTGGAAGAACTGAAGTTTTCAAAGAGACAGTGAATAGTTATGACACTTGGGTCTTCCAATACAACTCAGAAACAAATCTAAATTTCAACAAAACATGAAATTTGCCAATGGAAAAGTCCATAAACCCAAGATCAAAAAAGCACAAATGTCAAAAACAAAGGACAAAACCATGTTAACCTGTCTTCCTAGTACCAAAGGAATTATTCATTATTAATTTGTTCCTCCAAAATAAACACTAAACCCAGCATTCTACTTTCATGCTTTTAGATGTTGTTGGCAGTGCACACATGAATTTCACATCGTAACACTGCACCTTCCCCACAGGGCTTTAAGCTTTAAGAACAGCAACATATGGGCGAAGAACAACTACTATACTGGCCTGATTCACCCTTTGCAACATTTTCATGATCATGAAACTAAACAATTTCCTTGAAAGTGCCTTATTTTGAATTACTTGAAGATGTATTCAAAGCACTATGAGGCATTAAATGTAAGACTCCTGTGAAATGATATCCAGTAATATTTCCAGCCATGGCAGAGTCATTAAAATGTATACGTAAGTCAGAAGATGAATAAGTTGAATGTGATTACACTAGGTACAAGTTATAAGAGGTATATATTTTCTTTACAGAACTGATTCAGTTATTTGTCAGATCTTTAATTAATTCTGTAAGGCAATTTAACCCTCTCCAGTCATTGCATTATTAGAAATTTCATTTTTGATTATTTAAGTCTTCGGCCAAGTGAACACTACTATAATATCCATCAGTGAAAAGGTGGCAGCCTTCAATACCAGGCACACTGATTCCTAGTCTGTCCATTAGGAAAAGAACAATTCTTGAAGTGAATGGTTTTACAGAGTTCCCCATAATATGGATTATACTGTGAACATAACTAGTGTCACTGTCAGTAATACAAATAATCCGATGCCCCACTTTGACGGTTCTGTTTGGATTATAAATTTTTAAAATTACTTTGCCCTTACACCCAACTGTTGATTAATCTATTGCAGCATTTTTACCTGGCACAAAATATTTCTGAAACTGCTTCTCTGTATGTTGTCACCCCATGTACTTCCTGTTCATTTGATGGCCCTACTGCTTTCTTTGGTGGTATCATTTCCCATATGGAACATACAAAATATCAGTAGAAAGTGATCTCTAGACATTACATCACCAACAAATTGTATTTGTGTTGCTCTCTGGCTAGACCAGTAGTCTTTTATGTTGGGTAATGGGATCAGACCCATATTTATAATTAGACCTAAAAATGCCTTCATTTCAGGAGCAGATATATCAGACCAGCTTCTCCAAATGGACCTTGTGCTTAGCTGAAGTTTTGCAATTTTATCTTTCACGTACCTGTTTGTTTCCATAACAGTGTACAAGGTGGTCCAAATATGACCGGGACTGATTTTTTTTAAAACCAAAACTGCCAAACACTTACTTGCACATGTCAGTCTTCAACGTACTCCCCTCCGGAGTCTACACATTTTTTTCGACGTTCTGGAAGCATCCTGATGCCCTTTTCAAAAAAGTTTTGTGGTTGGCGGCGTATCCACTCCCGAACATTCTGGATGATGGCGTCATTGTCCACAAACCGCATGCCTTGCAAGTCTGATCTGAGCCTTCCGAACAGGTAGAAATCCTTGGTGCCAAATCGGGACTGTACGGCAGATGTGTCAGAAGGTTCCATTTCAATTTCTGGGTTTCCATTGTCATTNCCAGGAGGTCTGAGTAATAAGCTGCATTGACTGTTCTGGCATCTGTCAGAAAGTCTACATGGATAACCCCCTGCCAGTCCCAGAAGAACGCTGCCATCACTTTTCCTGCTGAACAGCTCCTCCGCGCTCTCTTGAGTTTGGGAGAACTGGTATGCCGCCACTCACGTGATGATTGCTGGGACTCGGGAATGAAGTAGTGCACCCACGTTTCATCGGTGGTCACTATAGACTTAAAAATGCATCACCTTCGTCTTCAAACTGCTGTAGGAGATGACTGGCAACTTGCACGCGCACCATTTTGTTCACGTACGTCAAAGTGCGTGGTACCCACCGTGCATTCACCTTGCGATAGTGCAGGTGGTATTTCATGATGTCTTCTACACTACCAACACTGATGGACAGCATTGCTCCAAGTTCCTTGATAGTGATGTGCCTATTCTCACAAGTAAGTGTGTCTGCGCGATCAATGTTTGACTTGGTGACGAATGTTCACGGCCGACGATCATGCGGTTCATTCTCCAGGCACTCTCTGCCCTCTCTGAAGCACTTACACCACTCAAACACACGGGTCCATGAGAGACACTCTTCCCCATACCGTTGTTGGAGTCTGTGGTGAATTTCAGTAGACGGGACGTTTCCTCCGAGGAATTTGATCACAATGCGTTGTTCCACGCTCCGCGGTACCTTCTGTTCACTCATCACTCTAGCAACTTCCAGACAGGACTGAACAGGTTCTAACCCTAACAGGAGGGAGGGTGGAGGTTGTGGCTTCACTCTCTCAAGGTCGCACAGCTGCTGCGCAGTGCGGCTTGTTTACAAAAAAAATCAGTCCCAACCACCTAGTATTTCAAAAGCTCATCACTGAAAAATAAACTAAAATAATTTATGGGCTCTGCATCTGGCAGAAGGTTAAATTGTAGCCCTGTGTTCTTAGTAAATGTGTATGCCTTGGGTTTCTTGTCGCCCACTGTCACTTCTTTCCATACATCAATACTCATGCCAGTTGTTCAGCCTCACTCTCACTTTCTGATTTTCTGTTGCTCGATTCTTCACTCCCAGTTTCGCCTTCAATTTCCAAATCCATCTCATCATCAGAGTAAATACTGAGCTCTTCATTTACCATATCACTAATAGCGTTTTCGTCCATATCATACAACGCATCATATTTTTGTCTTCTGAGCCAGAAGTGCCAGGTTTGCTGGAACATGATACCATGCCTCTAATATGTGACACCCCATAATATATAAATGTCATTCATTCTTGTAGAAGTTCAAATTATGACATTCAGATGGCAGAAGAAGGCAGACATGACATTCATGGATTTGTTGCCACTGTATACAGTGGCCAGTAGTGACACATGATCAACATACGACTGAAGAAAACCGAAATAAATTTTGTTGACACTCGTCTGTGGAAGCACTGTCACTATGTCAATTATATATCAACATACAACTGGAAAGGGTTAAACACCTGTCAATTCAAAGACCATGAGTTACAAAATCTTGCAAGAAATTAAAAACGTTCAAATACAGTGGTTTCTAAATTTAAACAGTCTCCACCACATTTCAGAAAAAGGGATGGCTATAATAATACATTCTGAACTGCAAGCATTTTTAGACAGAAAAGTACTTTAAATAAAAATAACACTGATTAACCGTGAGTAATAAAACAGACGCAATAATTTTCCACACCACTGCCACCATACTGTCAGAATGAACTCAAAAATGCACTTCACAGTAATCAATAAATAAAGTTAAGTCAAAGACCAGAATTATATAAAGTACCATTAGTTCTCATCTGTTCACTGGAAACCACTGCTATTATGTACATAAAAAATGTCTCTGCAACAAACAGGGCATCCATTAGGAAATATGAAAGGAAAGTTACCATATGGCTACCACAGAGGAGGTAAATTTAAATTAGGCAATGTGAGAGGCCAAAAATTGGAGAACAAGGTATGAAGAAGTCACAATGTCACATAAGATGTCTTCATCATATCATCACGCCAGAATTCACAGAGCCTTACTAGTGCAATTACAAAAACGCATAATCAAACCAAAAAAGAGGACTTTTCCAGTATACAACAATTGTCATTACATTTTAAATGTGGAATATTTCATGTCACAGGGACAAAATAAATTTAAAAAAAAAAAGAAAAACAGGGGACCAAAAATAATCAGGGGAGAAGATGAACGACAGAAAATATTATAATGAGAGTGAGGAAGATAAAATGGAAAGACATAGAAGTTTGGGGTATGAGGAAGAACTGATGAATAAGGAAAAAATTTCTGCAACATTACAGAAAATTTAATTAGTGTTTCCAGTTTCCTGTCCATGATTCAAAATAGTTACTAGACAAACTGAAGAGAACTTCATGCCCCCATTTAGTAGCTATATTAAAAATTGGGTTTTACTTGGAAACGAAACATTCTAAATGTACAAACCAAAGTGCAGTGATCGCATGTCTGATATAAGGCCAAAATATGATACACTTTTCATATACAGAAAAACATAGCAGATGCAACTAATGACAAAAGTTAATGACTTCATACCTACACAATGCCTTCCTTATTCCACTTCTATAATGTTTAATGTCAATCTGATGCATCTGAATGAAAATTTAAAGTTAGTAATTTGGATTAAAAAATGATTTATTGATACGTACAGACTATCAAGACCTCTATTCAATGTGGACATGACCCTCACCCTGGAGCCATCCGATGTGAAGCGAACGGCATTGACATTGCGTGCCAGGGTCATGGTGGTGATTTGGTAGCACATGAGTAACTCCATGCGTAGTGCTGAATACAGATTTACCTTGCCATCGTATGCACCCGAACAGAAGAGGTAACGGTCCTTGTGAACAAATAAAACAAGCAATTATTTGAAGTTCTCATAATAAATAGCATAGTCTTGTCAATGTCATATTTTTCTCAGGAATATTCAGTAGTAAATATTAAAATATATACATTTTTCTACATTGCAGAACAGAGAATGCATGCTCTTGAGGTAGAATGTATGGAATTCTAATCTATCAATTGTATTTCCTCCCTTTATGTGGTATAATGAATCAATCATCACAAAGATTTAGCAGCTACAGTATACTGCTGCATCCTGAGACATGCAATTCCAAAATTAATCTATGACATGGCTAAAATAGTTGTCTCCTGAGAATTTTCCAGGTATGCCCACAAAATCATAAATTTTACAGCAAATAAACAAAACCTATGAGCTCCTATGTTCAATAAGATATAATCCTCAAAGCTTCTTATAATAAGGAAGAAACCACTCTCTCATTACACCTCTGCTGAAACACAAATTTTGGAAGTAAGGCAAATACAAGATTTCCATTGTGATTTGAATCCACATTAGGTTACATATCACTTCTGCTGGCCATAAATAGTATTTCAGTTCATCATCAATTTGAAACTTCTTTCTTCCTAGGTGCACCTTCATTGGTCCAAAGAAATTAAAATAACAGGGGGCTATGTCAGGGCTGTAAGTGGGGTGGTTCATGATTTCATAGCCCACTGTTAGCACTGCTGCCTCCATCAAGTGTACTGTATGTGGATGAGCACTGTCAAGCAGGCAAATTTTTTTCTTTGACAGTTTTCCAGGAATTTTCTTCCAAATTGCTTGGTGTACATCATAGTGGAGCAAGTTACTGAATTACTTCTAATCAACTGTTACACCATGCAGAAGAAACCAACACAAATTACTGCTACTGAAAACCAAAACACACTTGTCATGATTTTCTCAGCAGACAGCTGTCCTGAATTATTATCAACTCAAGAAAACTCACTGTACCAATCACAGAGACCTGTATATGACAGGGTTCCCATAACGTGCATCTAGCCCATGAAGAATTTCGGCTGGTTTCACTTCCTCTTTCACTATGAATTTGATGATACAGCATTATTCTACACTAGGAGTGACAAGGTCTGACACCATCCTACATTCACTCTAATGCGCAGAAATGGGGTGCACAGCTACCTGCCAGGCAGCGAGCACAGTGTTGCCACCAACCATCCATGAAAGAATGTTACTTTTGTGGTTCCCACAGCTTCAGGAAAAAATAAAGTCCAGGTCAACCCTGAACCACCCTCACACAATCCATTCATTCATATTGCCTTTCAATGTGAATCACTAACATGTGTAGACTAAACTGACCAGGTTATTGCATCAGTAAAACTTCTGATTTGTATTCAGGAGATGCCTGGTTTGAATCTTGGACTCAACACCTGATGGTTTTATAGCTTCCTTCAGTCTCGCCACACAAATGATTTGGGCAAGAGCCTTAAAATCGTCCATCACCACCACCTTCTAAATCTTACTCTTTATGATTATGATTGTGCTCCCAACCGATTAATTATCACATAACTTCCACAATTAAAATTTAATAACTTCAGGCTCAACGAACCATAATGTGGTGGGCAGATGCACTACAAAAGTATGCTATCATGCCTGAACAAATAGCTCACTTTTGACTAAAACCCAACATCAGATGCTACTCTGAGCCAGATCCATTCATTCCATACCTTTAAACTTTACTTCCTTAGTCACGGCTCACCGTAATATTACACAGTCTCATATGTGTGCTCTCTTCCTTTGAATTCTTTCATCCAAGACTTTGTTTGCATTTATCATTTCCACCATTGTGTCCCAGCTGTCCCATCCTTCTTGATTCAATCATATTAACAATCTTAGGTGAAGAATACAAATTATGAAGCTCTTCTTTATGTAATTTTCTTCAAACCTTTTTTACTTCATTTCTCCTAGCCCCAGACACACTCCCCCAAGTCTTTTGTTTTCTTAGAATATGATAAAGTTTCACATGCATGCAGAACAAGTGAATGAGAGCTAATTGATTCCAAACACATATGCAGCAGCAGTGGTAACAATAGTACATTTATTTGTAACACTGCTTATACATACCCTGGGACTGAAAGCAACTCCACGTACACTTCCTTGGTGGAATTTCAAGAACCTTGGTTTTCCTTCCTGCTGCATGGTGGGATCAGCTACAGAAACAGCCAAATCAGTGTGCCTCAACCTCAGCTGATCACGTTTCTTGCTTGCCAAGTCAATAATGAAAAGCTTCCCTGTTAGGTCCTGGAAAGGACCTGGATTCAACCTTTCGCTTGAGTCACCCGTTTCTCTGTCCTTTCCGTTGACTCGACCAACTTCAGAGCATGTGGAGTTTGAGTGCGCAGAAAGCAGAGCCACGAGTGATCCGAGCTTATGCTATTTTATTAACTTCATTCTTTCTATTTCATTGCTTTTCAGACAGTCAAGTCCTTAAAGGGAAAATTAATTTCCATAATTAGTATATCAGAACAAACATACGTTAGTCTCAAATATTCATTTTACTTGTATATATAAAATGTGCAAATATTTTCTGATATATACGAGAATTTAATAATTTTCAATTACTTAACGAATGTAAATGCTATTTATCGCAGGGAATTTCCCATTTAGTGCACGATCAACGGCCTTCAATTTATTAGTTACGAAAATTTGCTTAAAATTAACATATAATTCAATGTACAGCAAAGGATGACATATGAATTAAATCCAAAAATACGCTCCTTGCAAAAGACATCTACCTTCAAGCACTGTCAAACACTAAGGGATGCTAAAAGAGCAACAAGCCTTTGTTGATAAACAAGTACGCCCTCCATTACCCTTACGTTACCATCCTTTTCCTTTCATATTGACCCAAGCAATCATATACAAGTTTCCATCCGATATTTAAGATACAAAAGGGCGCAGGAAGATAATAAATAAAATTCTTACCAACAATCCAACTCATACCAATCGCCAGCTACACCTTACGCTTTTTTTTTATTCTCCACCATAATCTTATCTCAGCTATGGAAATCGCCTGTTATTTAGTATCATGACCGGTCGCTAGGGTCGCTAGCATCATGACGATCATGACTATCCGATAGATGGCAATTCATACACGCAAAGTGTGTGTTGCTATAGAAACCAGAGAATATTTACGTAATACAGCTGGATAGGATTATGTACTTCCACAATTAGCATTAGTATACAATACTGTAAATTATCATTTAGACTTAAATTATTACAGGTAAATTTAAGAGATAAGTGTTATCACAATTTTGTTGAAATCATAAGCTTAGTTAATAAAGCATTACGTCGTGAAGGCATAAGTATGGGGGAGTGGAGTTATAGCTCCACCATTCTTGAACGCCAGAACCATTACGGCCCCCATAACTGTGTAATAACATCCGAATAAATCTAAATAGTGTCAAATATACTGGCTACAGGCTGGACGACCTAGGTGCTGAAGTTCAGGTCCCGGTGGGGGCAAGAATTTTCACTTCTCCATGTCCAGACCGGCTTTGGGGCCCACCCAGCCTCCTATCAAATGGGTACCAGGGACTCTTTCCCTGGGGATAGTATGGCCGGACCGTGAAACTGATCACTCACCTCCAACTAGTGCCAAGGTCAAGCAAAAGTGGATCTATGCATCCACTTCCCCATATGTCTTAATGGTATAGTGCTTAATTATGCACCAGGCCATGAAAACATATCCATACATTATAACCTTGATAGTCAATTATGAATTTATAACGTGCTTCAGTTACTGATACTTTTAAAAGTATGTTAGAACGCATTTTCCGAGGAGCATTATTGCCATTTTTCAGTTGTTAATGACTTACGAGTATATGAACATNAAAAAGCCTTGTGTACATGGAAACATACATGGTGGTTTTAGGACCAGATCAGACCTGTTCTTTTGTTGGAAATGCTGAGAACTGGAAAATATACTTTCCTTTTCAAATACTTGAAAAAACCATTTTGATGCATATATAACAGTTTTGTAAACATGAGATTTATAATTGTCATTTCAGAACTTCAGTTTACAATTGCAGAATTGTCAGGTGTTAACATGGTGCATGAGAGTAAGTTACATAGTTTCACAAATATAAATAACTCTGTCCAATGTGACCTGTAAGTTTATTACTACATGAAAAACTTAACACCCTTACATATTTCGGTGTCCGCAGACCATCTTCAGAGGGCAAACATCACTACAAATAGGAAACCACCTTAACATAAGTTGTTTAGACGTAAAGTACGTACACTTATATGTTACAATGCATAGTACACAAAATAGAACATTTCACAAACACAGCAGTTTCCTGGGAATGTAAAATTTTTAAAAAAATTATTTAAAATTTCTTGATGCTAATTAAAAATTTTTTTGCATTGTCAATAATTAAAATTCATAAACCATGCAGGCTGGTGTTCGTCCTCCCATCGTCCCTCTTGTATGGGGCAGATATTGTGTCACCAGTCTATCTTGATGTGGAGGTTCTTTATATCTTCCAGGGTTTGCTCGTGGCTGCTGTGCTGTTTTCACTGTTTTTCAAATCAAATTTACATAGTTTGTCAGAAGCTAGCAAGCAGTCTTTTGCCTCAGTGTAGTATACTATAGATAGACATATAAAAGAAATGACTTGTGATTAGCTATGTGTGTGTTTTGTTCATGTGAGACTGCATTAGAAGTCAGTCTTGCTGCAGCATTTGATAACATGTAGGACTTGAAAGGAAGATGGGAGAAAGCGGGGAAGTTGAGAGTAAGAAAGCTTATGTAACAACTGATGAATTCTAAATGGCCATTAAATTAGTACTACTTTGTGAACAGTCCAGAAGTGACCTTATTGTTCTTAGAGCAGGCAAATCATTTATTAATAAATAATAATAATTGTGTAAGATTTGAGGTTTTCCCAGCGGTGACTATGAAGAAAGCAGTCTTCTGGGTTGTGGCGCCATGTAGATGTGATGTTAACTGACGTTTTGGAGGAATGTATGGCCTCCATCTTCAGGGTAGAAGGAAAAATAAGAAAATCTGCAAGCGAAGAAACAGTGAGAGCAGGTGCAAGCAGGCTAATGTCAGAAATAAACTCACCTATATGAGCGCAGGAAAGGGAGGGACAGGTCTACATGGGAAATCAGTGGAGAGGGAGAGGGGAAGGGTCTGGGGAGCCGTGCAGGTATAGGATATTGTGTCGGGGGGAGGGGGAGGGGGGAGAAACCCCCTGGGACATGACGCCAGATCCACAAGGGCACGTGGTCCATGATCGACTCGCATAGCAACCACCCAGCTTAAGGGTTAATGCCCTTCCATTAACCTTGCCTTTCTCCCCTGACACAGTATCCTATACCTGCTCTAACCTGGCTCCTGTCCCAGACCTCTCCCCTCTCCCTCTCCACTGATTTCCCATGTAGACCTGTCCCTTCCTTTCCTGCGCCTCATATAGCTGAGTTTATTTCCGACATTAGTCTGCTTGCACCTGTTCTCACTGTTTCTTTGCTTGTGGATTTTCTTATTTTTCCTTCTACCCTGAAGATTGAGGTGATACGTTCCTCCTAAACGTCGGTTAACACCACATCTACATGACGCCACATCCCAGAAGACTGCTTCCTTCAATAATAATTGTCTTTGACATTTTAAATTCTTAGTGCCATTTCTTAACTATGAGAAACCCAATATTCCATCTAGGAGTATTCATGGTTTACAGGAGCAACTGAGGTCCACATTGAATAGAATTACATTATAGGAATATCAATAGATTCAAAACAATTTGAATTGGCTGCAACAGTCTTGGCACTCTATAACAAAGATGGTTGACTGACTGGCTGGCTGGATGGTTTGTTGGTTGGTTGATGGATTTATAATTGCATTGGTTGTTTGTCATTCTCAAGATGTGTAACAAATTAAACCAAAGCTTGTAATTTATCCTTTAACTTCCTCTAAATTTCATGTGTTTGAAGTTTCTCCTACACTAGATATAATAATTAAAACACTTGCAAATAATTGGGAATTGTGTGCATTGTTGTTGTAGACTGTATGTGGACTCTTGTTTCAGTCTAGTGGAAACTATGTTGTAGCTGTTTAATATCCACCAGTATGCCAGTGTATGGTGCCATACATTGCAAAGGATCAGTGTTATAGTGGCCTGACTTTGGCCTAACCTGAACCCAGTGATACTATACCAGTGCCCGTGTTTTACCAACAACCAGATGAAAGCAGATGTTGAAAAGATATCTGTTCCAGGTGTTATAAAGTGTGTGACAGAAGCATAAAAGAAATATGGCTGCTTGTCATGGCCCAGCTCCAAGATCAGACGTTCCTGCTGATGAAACAAAGACATCAGATTTCTATCGAACAGCAAATTTACCTAATCGTTTTGACAGACCTTGTATGTTCATTTCAGTGTTCATGATTTTAAAATTAATATTTGTGTTAATGAATTTATGCAAATGCAGAAGAGAAAATTCATTCTGTACATTTCCATCAGAAAGGAGAACAAATATTGTCATTATGAAGGATGCCTGTTAGACTACTCCATGGTTTGTGTTCAGAACTCTCTTTCTTCCTTTTGAGTTGTAATGCTAGAATCTATGAAATCTATTTCTTTCCACTTTCCACACAATGAATATAATTTTTTTAAATGGTTAGTCTGCGTATAATTTGTAGGACCCACAGGAATTCCATTTCAGATGCTTCCTGTGCTTCTCATGTTGTTAGTTAAGAGTCCAACATTCTGACCCATATAAAAATGTGGGTGCAGTCATTATTTTCTATACCTCTCTATTAAGTCTTTTACATATATATTCAAGGAAGATTATTAAAATGAATAAGATTTATGATATATCTCAGTTAATTAAAAATAGTGACTACTTCAATCATTATATTGTTTATTGCTGTTTTTTCTCTTATTGGTAGCATTCCTCATTATGAGGGAGAGTCAGTAAATAGGTCATGAATGGATATAAAACGTAAAACATTCGAACCTGAAAAAAACATTTATTTCTTGACATGCCCTCCACCACCACTTGTCCCATCACTTTACAAGTGCATCAGTACCCACAGCATAGAAGTCTTTTGACTGTTGTCTCAGCCACTTCTGCACCTCCATTTCATCGGCTAAATATTTGCCACCAATGTGGTTTTTTAGTGGAACAAACAGATGGAAGTCACTAGGGGCCAAGTCCGGGCTTTAAGGCACATGTTGAAAAAAGTTCCCACTGTAGTTATTGAATGCTCTCCTTAGTTTCTCCGGCTGTATGGTGTCTGGCATGTCATGATGAAATAGTACTCCTTTTGCCAGTTGGTCTGGAAGCTTTCTGCAGATTGCATCCCAAAGCTTCAACAGAACCCCACAGTACAATGCAGAATTAACATTTTCACCACACTTCTAAAAATGGGCTAACAGTACTCCCAGAGAATCCCCAGACATGGTAAGCATAACCTTCCCGGCTGATGGCATAATCTTAAACTTTTTGGTTAAAGGTGAACTGAGATGTTTCCATGGCATTGATTCATGCTTTGTTTTGGGTTGGTAGTGATGCCCCCATGATTCATCCCTGATAACAATCCTCTTAAGCATATCTTCTCCTTCAACTATATACTGTAAGAGATTTTGCCAGGACAGACCCATTTGGCTAATTTTTCTCGATACTTTAGTGCTATGGGCACCCACCATGCACACACTTCTGAAACTCAAACTATGATGCATTATGCTGTATGCTAAACCTTGGGAAACACCCTATTGCAGTTGCTACACTGTCTGTTATTATCCTTCTGTCAGCTTAAATCAGCTCTTCCACCCACTGCACAATTACTTCTGTTGCAATCTCAACAGGGTGACCTAGTTGCACATCATCTGCAACTTTCAGATATCCTTGAGAGAATTTCTTGGGCCAGTTGTGAACCTTGTTATGTGACAAACACTTCCCACCATAAACAAGAAACATTTCTTTATGAATATCCTTTGCATTGAGTCCTTTTGCTCACAAAAATGCACAACAGAACATTGCTTTTTAGTAATGCACTTCTCAAGCAT